TAAGGTAATCGAAATTGCCTATTTAAACTTTCAAAGATATACTTTAGATAGAAGTTATATGTCCGCTTGAAGAGTGAGATATTTCAGTACAGATATCAAGCCCCAGAATTGTCTCACATCGATACAGAGACTAGAAGCCGTTTTGTATTTGTTGATGTCGGAATCTTCAGCAAATGTGCTGGTAACCATGGTAACATGAACCTACTCGAACCAAAATTTGTATGATCATCTTCTGCAGTATTTAATTCGCACGTTTCATTATCATTTCCATTTCTGTGCAGTTTTTAATGAATTTTATTTTGACGTGTATACCCAAGAGGACATAAATTATGTTCCCTTCATAAACCCTGCCATATACTTCATTTTTTCCAAAGAATAAGAGATACCGTACATTTTAGAAAATTGAGAAAAATAGGCACCCAATAGGTACACGAGTCTACGATGCTCTTTGTTTTTATACAGGGTCTTTAAATATACTTTTACGTGGCTCAGTACTCTTTTAAGGTGGACTTTCTTAGGCGCCACTTTTAGTTAAAAAGGTCCAATAAATACAAGGCAAACCCGTAGAGGATTCATTTTGCAGAGCTAAAGGTGATGTAGATGGAAGTAATTGAGGGTGATGCAACTCATGAAACTAGTGGTGCTGCCAGGACATGTTACCAATTCGTCGAAAACTTCTACTTAATACTGGGAAAAAGCTACCAGAAATCAGTTGAGCCCCATGCAGGTTTTGGAACTGAACACACGAAAGCCTATACGCTAGCGGACTTACCAAAAAGTTAACAGGAGAAGAAGTAGAAAAAAAAGAGTCATTGAGTGATGGATGCATGGAGTGAATTTTGGGTCATAACAACACCTCGGAAATTGGCATTCAGCCGTTTTCCCAAACGAGTTACTACAACAACGTTTGCCTTGATAACATGGAGTCTACGTTGCCTTTGTCACCGTAGACTCAAAAACCCTTATGTGACAGCACTGCTTATTTGCATTATTTCGGTTTCGTTAATTAAAATTTTTTTTGTTAATGTTGAGATGACTAAGGCAGCTGCCTTTAATTTCCTTAAACGTTCTTGGTTTGCTGACTATTTAGACAAAGTTCGTCCCAAAGAACTGAAACTTAAATCGCCCTCTTGCAACAGTTAAGAAAATATGTTTTCGAAGCTTTAATTAACGGCTTTTGCGTCGCAAACGTAAAACCACACAGGGGAGTCTGTGTAGGCCTGTCTATGACCTTTTCAATAATTAGAAAAAGTAATAAAGGTCTCTTCTTATTAAATTTATTTTCTTCTCACTGTTTCAATAAAGGACAGAGTAAATACACGAAAACAAAACGTTTCGATGAAAGCCCTCTCACCATGAAACTTGTGAAATGACAAAAGCTAACCACGCCGAGTCGTATGTATCTAACATATTGTTATCCGGTGCCAAATACATTGAATAAATACCATGTTAAATAGGTCATTAGTGCTACTATAGATTAGAGTTTCATGTCACTGATCTGTCAGTGACAAACAGAAGGGAAACTTTCACTGGTTTGGGAATCTTCCTGATCGGTTAAAAAAAAAAACCAACAAAGGAAAAATGATCAACTCTTCACAGCACAGAGAAGAAGAGAAGAGTTACCTCTCTGCGTGTTTCGCATTTAGTGATGAAGAGAGCGAGAACGCTAACTGCGTGGCTCACGTTAATACTTTTGTTTTTTTAAATACAATTTTATCCATCACTTCGCTGTTAGGAAACATTTTGATTCTTATCGCTCTTCAAAAAGAATCTTCTCTTCATCCGCCATCGAAGCTTTTATTTCGTTGT